AAGGGCACTTTAAAAAATAAAACCCAAGGCAATAGTAACTTTAAACACGTGTACACTTTTTTAGCCTCAAATACATATGAAGCAAACATTTATAAACCTGTAGGGAGAAACTGGAAAAAACATCCTCACAGAGAAAGGTTTCAATAGCTTTTTTCTAAATTATTGATTAATCAAACTAAAAAAAAAAAATCATCCAACTACAGTTATCAATTTATAAGAGATAAAGAAGCAGAGGCACAAACTAAACGACATCACAGGAATGCAGCAGCAAAACACAGAACGTGGGGAACTCCATGGGACCAAAATTCTAATATCTTCAATAAATCGATGGCAAGAAAAAAATTTAAAGAGAAACCAATTAAGAAACTTGAGACATACCAATAAAATATAATGTGATATACCAGCCTTGGATCTTATAAACAACAAACTGGAAAACAAAATGAGCCAATGTGTGAGACCTGAATGGTGATGGGATGTTTGATATTAAAAACTACTGTTGAGCTTTTTAGTGTGATATTAGAATTGTGGTTATATAGTTCTTAAAATACTTATTTTTCTAACAGTTCCAGCTTTGCAGAAAAAATTATGAGGATGATAGAGTTCCCATATACCTCGCACCTAGTTTCCCCTTTTATTAATACCTTACATTAGTATGGTTCATTTATAGTTACAATTAATGAACCAACATTGATGCGTATTAACTAAACTACATACTTTATTCACAATTTCTTAGTTTTTACTTAATGTCCTTTTTCTGTTGCAGGATGCCATCCAGGATACTACATTAGTTCTTGATGACTTCTTTTCTTGATGACCTTGACAATAGTTAGATTATTTTGAAGGTCCTTCAGCTAGGATTTGTCTGATGTTTTTCTCATGATTAGACTGGGATTACAGGTTATTGGAAAGAAGACCAAAAAGGGAAAGTGCCACTTGCGTTCTGATGTACGTACTATCAATGTGACATCGATGTTGACCTTGATCACCTGTCTGAGGCAGTGTTTGTCAGGATTGCACACTTTTTCTTTTATTTCCCTTTCCACACTGTACTACTCTTTGAAAGGAAGTCACTCTGCACAGCTCACACTTAAGGGGTGGGGAGTTACGCCCATGTTAAAGCTGGAGTATCTATGTAAGTTACTTAGAATCCTTCTGCATGAGAGAGTTGTATACTTCACATTTATTTATTCATAACATTTATTTACATCAGTGTGAACTCATAGGTATTTTATACTTTGGGTTACAATCCAATAGTACTTTATTTTGTTGTTCAAATTGTCCTGGGTTTGGCCATTGGGAGCTCTGTTAGTTGGCTCTTACGTCCTTTGACATATTCCCATCATATAAGTTGTTTTCTTGTTGTTTTGAGCACTTTACTTTCTAGCACTTTAAGATGCTCCAGGGGCATCTTATTTCCTATCCCAGTCCTGGAGTCAGCTCTTTCTCCAAAGATGCCTAAATCCTTTTATTGGAGAATGGCATTAGAAACCAGATCTTGAACTAGGCATACTCATTTTTAAGGGTATCATTGCTTCTAGTCCCTCTTAGCTAATAGATGTGGTTATATATTTCAAGGAATAAAAATATGCCTTTAAAAAAAGTTTTTTTAAAAAAAGTTAACTTTTAGATTAGACATACTGAAATGTTTACAGATGAAGTACCTAGAATTTGCTCCAAAATTAGCAGTATTGAGGGGTAGGAAGTGGGGAAACAGTATAGATAAAATTAGAGTGGTCATGAGTTACTTATAGTTGATGACAGGTAGATAGAGTTTAGTTTAACTATTTTAATTGTCTGTCTCCTTCAAAATTTCCATAGTAGAAAACTTCTAAAAATTCAGAAGTCTACTCATGCCAGCACATTTTAAAAACCTAGACAAAATGGTCAAATTTCTGGGGAGAGTGGAAATACTTTGCTATAGCTGACTTTGCAATAAAAAGCTATTTAAGAAACTGAAGTAGTGGTTACAAAATTCCTATAGGATATTCATTGGAGTTTCCACTCTATTAATGGCAGAGTAAGTAGATTGCATTGGACTAACCTTCCTGCAGATAATAATTATGAACCAGGGACAAAAGTATGTAAAAATCTATTTGAAGGCACTGAGAACAACCAAAAGCTAGTAGATACCGGATGAGATCAATCATCAAAGAGGAAGAAGGGGACATGTGGATTCTCCACAAATTAATGTCATTCCAACCAAAATTTCAATTGGACCTTTTAGTAGGAATGGACTAGTTCATTCTAAAATGTACATGGAAATGTCAAGGACCTAGAACAGCCAGAACAATCTTTAAAGAGAACGAAGTTGAAGAACTCACACCATTCCACTACAGAATTCACGCTAAAGCTACAGTAATCAAGAGTGTGGTATTGCCATTAGGACAAATGAATGGAACACAAGAGAGTCCAGAAATAGACCCACACACATATGATATGGTCAACTGAGGAAATAAGGCAATACAATGGAGAAATTTTTTCAACAAATGATGCTGGAACAACTGGAAAAATATATGGGGATAAAAAAAAAAAACTTCACTCATACATCACAGTAAAATTGAAAGAGAACAGACCTAACTGTAAAAGTGAAAACTATAGAATGTCTAAGAAAACATAAGAGAAAATCTTCATAACCTTTGGGTAGGTAGGCAAAAATTTTTAATTTTTAGGAATACATAAAGATGCAAAGATACCAGCCAGGGGTGGTGGCTCAGGCCTGTAATCCTAGCACTTCTGGGATGCCGAATGGGGAAGGACTGCTTGAGGCCAGGAGTTCGAAGCCAGTCTGAGCAAGAGTGAGACACCATCGTTACATAATAGAAAAATTGGCCAGGCATGGTGGCGTGCACCTGTAGTCCCAGCTACTTGGGAGACTGAGGCAGGAGGATCACTTGAGCCCAGGAGTTTGAGGTTACAATGAGCTATGATGACACCACTGCACTCTAGCCCATGCAACAGAGTGAGACTGTCCTCCCTCCAAAAAAAAAAAATACATGCATAGACCAGTCTGTCACAAACTAAGGGGTGCAGTGGTGCATGATCATAGCTTACTTCAGCCTCTTTTTTATTTTTTGTAGAGACAAGGTCTCCCTATGTTGCCCAGGCTGGTCTTGAACTCCTGTGCTCAAGTGATCCTCCTGCTTCAGCCTCCTGAGTCACTAGAATTACAGACAAGAGCCACCACACCTGGTTTTAAACATTTTTTAATTGTCTAACCATGGTTACACAAATATTCTTAAGAACAGTACTACAAAACATCTCAATTAGCTATATTGTTGCCCAAATTCATCAAACTAATCCATTCTCTAATTATAATTTGACATTTGCAGAAAGGATGACTGTGTAAGCAGAAATTCTACCATTACCTCTCAAATGGGAAGGCATAATATGTGATTTTTAAAAACTCAAAATGGTAATGGTTGGTGGAATTTCACATGTAAGCCTTAGACAAGACAGTGTTAAACAGAACAAAACTGTTCCAATCATTATACCCTTAATGTTAACGTTTGGTCAAGCTAAAGAACCATGAATAACTGGGAGCAGACAAAATGTACACTAAATTCATAGGCCAAAATCCTTATTAGCTATTTATTGCTATATAACAAATTACCCCAAAACTTTGTGGCTCACAATTATGTATTAAATATCTCTCTGTGTCTATGAGTCAGGAATTGGTGAGACACACTTTTGGGCAGTTCTTGCTCAGGTCTCAAAACAGGCTGAAGCCAGGTATCACTGGAGAGTAGGCTCCCCCTTCAAGGTGGCTCCTTCATGTGGCTGGCAGCTAGCAAGAGCAAGAAGGTTTCCCTCCTTGTGGAGAGCTGCTTAAACCTCCTTGCAACATGGCCTTGGCTTACCCCAAAGCAAGCAAGCTGAAGTTACACTGTCTTAGGACCTAGCCTCAGAAGTCATACATTTTTTTCTGCAGTATTTTACTGCTCACACAAATTACACTTGTTTCAACGTGGCAGGGTACAAGGGCTGGAAGATTAGCCAATATAGAAATGACTTAGAATGATGACTTTAAAAAAAATATTCAGAAACTTTTACTTAGCAAGATTAAAGACTTCGGAAGAGGGTAAGACATCTATTGAAGGTGGACCATGTCTAAGGGTTTAGTTGACCACAGGTATAGCATAAATGAATAGTCAGGACCACACAAGCAGGACTCAGATGCACACTTCTGTCCTGCCTGACACAAGCAGGCACTGCCCTAAGCCCGTAATTGGAATATTGTGGTCCATTTCTGGGCACCAAACATTGATTCCATTTTTTATGTAGCTCCAGAAGGCAGATCTAGAGCTGCTGAAATTATGGGAAACGTTTCCCTTAACACAGAGGAAAAGTAAGCACTAGCATTGTCTACAGATGGGGTCAACAAGACATAGTAATCCCCTCTAAGGTTCCAGCTCACAGGTGATAGACAACTAAGCTTTTTAGAAGTGTGATTAAAAGAAACAGCATGAGCTCACTCCTGTAATCCTAGCACTCTGGGAGGCCGAGGCAGGAGCTCAGGAGTTCGAAACCAGCCTGAGCAAGAGCGAGACCCTGTCTCTACTAAAAATAGAAAGAAATTAATCAGACAACTAAAAATATAGAAAAAATTAGCCGGGCATGGTGGCGTATGCCTGTAGTCCCAGCTACTCGGGAGGCTGAGGCAGGAGGATCGCTTGAGCCCAGGAGTTTGAGGTTGCTGTGAGCTAGGCTGACGCCACAGCCCTCTAGCCCGGGCAACACAGTGAGACTCTGTCGCAAAAAAAAAAAAAAAGAAATGGCATGAGAAGAATCCCCTATGAGGAAACTTGTGGAGCTTTAAGATACTTGTCATCTGCTCTGGCTGCTCGGTTTCTCTGTTTACTTGCAGATTCCTGTTTCCCACAGGTAGTGCCGTGGGAAGAGCTGAGCACCAGGAGGCAGGGGGCTCAGGCAATGCTCACACCAACATTGACGTGTAATGTGTCAGTCTAAAGAGTCTGTATCTTTATGACAAAACACAACTACCAATTATTAAGATTTAATGTTTTATTTTGAAAAACAAGTTATTTTCAAAATTCCATGCATGAAGTCACCTGCACATATGCAAACCATAAAATAATGTGTGATGGAATCAGTGGTGGAAGAGCCGAAGATTCGTGTGAGCGAGGGTTATTCCCAGTTCATCACAAGCCTCAATGACAACTTTGTCAGCAGCAGAGCCGGAGGGAGCAGCAATGTACGCCACACCACTCTGAGGGAAAGACAGACATTGACTTTCGAAACACAACTGTATGTAAAAACCTGCAAAAATTAAAATCTCCCTCTAAAAAGCCTAAACCAACAATGATTCACTCAAAAAGGCAAAGTAGGATTTGTGTCATCCATACATCCAACAGAGTAGTCAAATAATTCTCCAGGGTTTCTGAAAGAGTTTCTACATAATGTTCAACTCTATGCAAATGCACACCAATTCCATACTTACCCTTTTAGCTCTGTCTACATTATCCCTGAAAGGAAAGAAGGCGTCAGAGCTGACAGAAACTTCACTTAGTTTGTCAACCCATTCCTTCTTCTCTGCCTCAGTTAATAATTCAGGGACCTCCTCAAACAGTGCCTTCCACTTTATCAAATCTTCATCCTACAGGAGGAGGAGAGGGCAGAAGTCAGTCTGACATCATCTTCATTTCTATTTGATGTGAACCACCAAGCCAGAAAGCACTTGGGCATTTTTCCTAGGATTTAATTTTAAATGATGACTCTTATTTATATGCTAGTTCATATTTCTAGATTCTCCTTGATGTTTTTAAAAACATTTTCATTAAGAAAGAAAAGTGATTCTAAGTTTATCAAATTTATAGAGATGGTTATCACTTTACTTTCTAAATTGGTTTATTCCAAATATATTTTGTTCTTAAATCTCTAATTTAAATCTATTACTTTATATCCCTGTATCAAAGGAGACAAATAGAAAATCACATTCCAAGGCTTTTCAGAAGAACTCTCCATATCCAATCTAGGAAACAGATAATCAATGTTCTAGAACAACATTTATACAACACTTAGTCTCAAATATAAGAGATGTAGACAAATGAAGCATGATTAATTGTATTTGCTATCATTTGAATATTTGCGTCCACTCCAAAATTCATGTTGAAATTGAATCTTGAATGCAAAAGTATTAGGACGTGGGCCTTTAGGAGGTTATTAGTCCATGAGGGTAGGTCGCTCATGAGTGGATTAGTGTCTTATAAAAGGGCTTGAGAGGGCGAGTTAGTCCTCTCCTGGCGGAAGCAATTTTAATGCTCCCACATATCCCTTTAAATAGAAGACATTAAAGACCATGAAATGTAACAAAAATATATCAAGTTGCTAGTGGCACTTGTCAAAAATGTGGTGGGGGAAGATAGACACTAGTCACCTGCAAGTAACATGCTCCACATTATTATAGACACTTCAAGACATGTGAAAGGCAGTACCGGGCATTAACTTAAAAAGACAGAGAAGCTTTGTGGTTTCAGAAAGGGATAAAAAATAGTGAAGTTAAATGAGTCAGAAGAAAGAACATATTAGAAGCTTCAATTAAATTAACGATTTTAGACAATATAGAATTTCAAGAAAAATACCTTTTCACTCTGTAGTGATGAAATTGAAGTCTGTTACTCATAAAAGGGTGAACGAATATTAACACAGCCCATCCATAACCCAAGGACAAGCCTTTTACCTCGCCGATGGTTCCAGTCACATACTGGTCAATGGCATTGGAGATTTCTGCTCTCTTCACTCCTGTTTTAAACTTCATCGAAAGCACTTGTGGATGGTGTCTAAGCCACCAATAGTTTGCTTTATCCCCTGCAAGGCGTGTGCAGTGTATCCGAGACTGCTGTCCTGCTCCAATGCCGATAACCTGAGTAACACAGACATTAAAATGAATACCTCTTCCAGCGTATTCTTATCAAACAATCTTATGTGCATATTCCTCAAAACTTGTCTATTAATTTTATAGAAGAAAACATCAGGTCAAAATAAGAGAAACATAATTTAAGCCATTAAAAAAGAGGAGGTAAGAGATTTATACCTACTATTTATACCTTATTACCTCTTCAATGGTATTTGATGTATGACTGCTAATACTAATATTCTGGAAGTTTCTAGAACAATCAAATTATGTTCTTGATGGTTTGAGGGGAAAAAAAAGAATTAAAAAAAAATAAAAGTTCATTAAAATAGCTATGGTTATTTGAAAGTCTTTTTCTGTCCCAGTTTATAACCTACAGTTTAAACACTAAATCACAGAAATTGATACAATAAGGATCTGAGCAAGGGTATCCTAAAAAATAAAAACAATTCCACTGGACACAAAAATTCTCCTTCCTTCCTCTGTTTGTATGGGTTGAATTCTAAGCACCAATGACTTTAATGCACAGGTGTGTTTTATGGCTTCAGTTTCTATAATGAACACCTCTTCAGCTGTCTGCCTGCCCCATAGGCCGCCCCTCTCTAAGCCTGCAGCTGCCAACTCTGCTCATAGCTACAAGAGAATAAACGAGACCACAGACACCTGTGCAACGTGTTCCTCCTGGATGTCAAAAGCAAAGCATTCATTCTACATGGACTTACTGGAACTTATTAGAACCTGAGCCTAAGGACACCAGTAGCCACAATCTCCCAGGATTTTGTTACTACAGAGATTGGCAACCCTGAGTCTCCCAGGTCACATGCTCATTAATACCCACCTGCCCCCGACTGCCCCCACTTGTGGGCCAAACTTAACAAATGCCAAGAGACAAGCTCAAGACACTGAGAAGAAAGGGTTCCCAATGCTGCTGAAGCCACAACAAAACCAAGTTCACCCTCGAGTTAAGAGAGACCTCAGTAATGAACCAGCTCAATCTCATAATCCATGGCTCAGCACACTAGGAAATAAGTTCAGTATCGTGCATAACATCACATAGTGGGAAATGTTCGGTATCCGATCACACTGTATAACGTGTGATCAAATTATACACACTGTATAATTTGTGAAAACCAGTCAAACTGTACACTTGAAAAAGGTGTTTTAAATTTTACTGTATACAATTTATGCCTCAATAAACCTGATTTTAAGAGATCAAGTTAACTCCTAGTCTAGCAGTCTTTGTACTCAATGGAATCTTAATACAACAATATAGGATGTATGTGAGAATACCCTGCAAGCTGTAAAAATACAGGCTGGTGGGTGGCAGTATCATTCCTTACTTCCTCTTTACTGGAAATACTACCAATGCGAGGAAAGGAGAGTGAATAAACCAGTTTGGTAGCACCTACTGGAGTCCCACTAATCCAAATTGTGCCAACTCACTCCAGGCAAGAAGCAACATGACTAGTTTTAGTCCTTGGTTCCAAAGATACTGTGTGACCATCGTTAGCTTTTAACAGTCCACCGAGGAGCTGAGGAAACACTGACAAAGCCAGAAGAGAAAAACTTGGCAAATTTTCCCTTTCAAGCTGCTCAACACCTGAGGCAGATGGATTTCTGAATATCATTTTGTAAAACAACAGTCCTCGTGAGGTGAGGTGACAGCCCGCTTACCTGCCCGTTCTTGGCGTAGCACACGGAGTTCGACTGAGTGTACTTGACAGCAACGGTGGCCACAATGAGGTCCCTGAGGGCAGACTCCGGCAACTGAAACAGACACGGTGAATCACACGGGGCCTTCTGAACTTTCTGTAACCTGAAGCTTCTCAGTGCCATTTAATGTAACAGACTTAATGTAGTCATAGCTCTCAAATGAAAGAGGGAAATTAACTCTTCGTGCTACATACTACTGTTGTTTACTAAAAGACCAAATATTTAATATATTTGTGGTGGAACTTAGCACGATGTGTCACAGACTCAAACTAAGGCCGTTCTGCAGCAATTCGGGATTAAGCCTGTGTATGTCACAAGAGATATAATACCACACCCATTCTAAAACTGACAAAAATATTAATATTTTCTCAACCAGAGTACTTTACGTGAAGACATAAAATTCATGTTCAGAACTCATGCTGAGAATAATTTTCATAAACATTACAAATCATTGCGACGCACACACACAGCCAAGACTGTCACAGAAAAACCAAATTGGGATCATTTTCTCCTTTGTTTACAATATTCCAAGTAGAAACTATTCAAAAGGCATTGTGAACTACTAGTCCAAATAGAACAACAAATATAATAGCCAAAAATGTCACTATCTTTAGTATAAAGAGTGAATAACAAATTGAAAAGGGCAAAGATCCATGTCAGGATGCTAAATGGACAGCGGATATTAGCTGTAGCTAACTGTCAAATTAACTGAAAAACTGATAAATTTGACTTCATCAAAATTAAAATCTCTACTCTACAAAAGAAAGACCCCTTGTTAAGAGGATGAAAAGATAAGCTACAAACTGGGAGAAAATATTTATAAGCCTCATATCCAACAATGAATTAGTACCTAACACGTAAAAAACTCTCAAAATTCAGTAACAAAAAAAATCAATTTAATCAGAAAATGGGCAAAAGACATGAGGATACATTTCACCAAAAAGGATATATGGATAGCAAATAAGCACAAGAAAAATGTTCAATATCACGAGCCATTAGGAAACACAAATTAAATGAAAATCAGTGAGATACCGCTACACACCTATCAGAATGTCTCAGAATATACAAAAACTGGATCACTCATCCATTGCTGGTGGGAATGTAAAATGCTACAAGCCACTCGGGAAAAGTTTGGCCATGTTTTAAAAAACTAAACACGCAACCACCATACCACAAAGTAATTAATACTCCTGTGCATTCACCACAGAGAGAGGAAAACTTACATTCACACAAAAACTTGTAAATGAATGTACAAAGAATGGAAATTATAGAAAGGGAAAACATCAGTGGTTGCCCAAGGTTAAGGAGGGGAGGGGGTGGCAGGAAGTGAGCCTGGTTACAGGAGAGCAACATGAAGGATCACCGTGGTGATGGAAATGCTCTGTACCTTGTGACTGTATCAATGTCAACGTCCCAGGGGTGGTACTGTACTATAGCTTTGCAAAATGTTACCATTAGGGGAAATTGAGTAAAGGAAACTCTTACAACTGCATGTGAATCTACAATTTTTATTTGTCTCAAAATTAAAAGATTAAAAACACTGTTAGTATTTCTGAAGAATTTACTATTCTAAGGTGTTATTAATGTAATATATCCTTTCTTATCTCTATCTGTTGTTTGAGTCACTAACTATAAAGATTCCATTGGTTCCAAGAAAGATGAATAACAAAAGCCAGCCTCCTATGTCTAGACCTTCAAAGATAACCAGTGAAGTGGGAGTGAGGGAATCTAGTCTTACAAACATGCTACGCTTAAAACAAATTAAAGCACTATTCAAGAAAAATGGGAGAAGAGGAAATATTTCAAACATGCCCAGCATTAATACACACTCCTTCCACCTGTCTGGTTCTCTCAGGACTCAAACAGTTCCAGCCCTAATAGTATAATCTAATAATTTTGAGGCTGGAATGTTAACAAAAATCTGCTTTAAAAGACAGGGGGTGGAATATAAAGGAGAACACAGCTATCATTCTCATCCTTAAGCTTCTGAATTTCTACTAAGAGTGTAGATGAAACAAGGAGAGAAAAAATTTAGACAAAAGATTAAAATCATATCTACCCACTACCCTTGTAAAAGATATTCAGGAACACGAAACCTATCAGAGATCACTAAATTAGTAATCAATCCAATATCCATAGAACTTTAAAAAAAACTTAAGTAAGATTCTCAATAGTCAGACACAACTGTCAACCTGGGTACCACGAAACCTAGGTCAATACCCATTCAGTTATTTTCTAAATACATTAACCAACCAGAGTGGATTCCAAGGGGCTGAAAGTATTTCTACTTATAATGCCTACATGTTTCTTTACTTCAGTGCACCACGAATTTTCAAAGATAATAATGAAAGAATATCCATTAAATAAACAAAGATGTGCTACTCACCATTTGCTTATTAACATATATTAACAATCCAGATTTTAAAGCTTATTTCCAGCAATTCCACTTAAAGCCCCAGGAGTCAAACCTGGGAACAAGGTGCAGCTCCTCATCTTCTCCTTGTTACAGTGAATAGCCAATCCTTTCCCCCCGAACTAACAGTAAAGCTAGACACAGAGCTAACAGCAACAGCAAGCACTGACAGGCAAAGATCCCAGAGATAAAGGAGGCAGAAGGAAATGGGCCTGACAATCTATGCTTTTCCCCTTGAGGCATTTTCTAAGTTGCATGCAATAAAATAAGAGGTAAATAAGCCGAGCACA